CTGTGTTCGTGTTTTCCTCCGAAACAATAAGTTCCATTGGAGCAGCCTTTCAACGCCTCTCTCTGTCTCTCGCTAGCAAAGTTGACATGGTATGTACAGATCCATCAGGAGGAAGCACTGCAGCTAATGGACACTTTTAAAACGACATGCAACAACCTCTGTGAAACTACTACAAAATAACAAAAATTAAAACTTGTAACTAGAAAAAACCTGAAATATTCACATTCAGCTTTACCAATTCATGTTTTACAGTAGTAGTCCAACATCCAGCAAACAACTACTAATTTTAACTCTGTTTAATTACTTGCAGTTAAATAGTCTCTGACACTGGTCATGTGACATCAATGCAGCATCCATTCAGTAAAATGGATTGCATTCCCTATTGACTTTACACCCCTTTAAATATCAAAACCTAATGTTGGCCTAACTTTACCCAATAATTCAACTTCCACCACTGACAATACTGCGTTCCCTTTGCTCCCTCTTGAATTGAGTAAATTGAATTGTTCTCCCCCTCAGCTAAACTCGCTACAAACCTGTAAGATAGGGTAAAGCCTAAATACTAAGACCAGCACCTCATTTGAGGGCAGGCTGGCTTGGGTGCAGAGTAGTCTCGGACTATCACTGCCACTTATTGTGGTTATTTGTCAGTGATCCCCCTGATTTTACAGTGAGCATGAATAGACCGCCAGTTGCTGCGGCTTGCCTTCATACCTTGGCTCTGCAATGCTTTTCTGCAGTGAAGTGTGAACATTAAAGTGAATGTGGAGGAGGAGTCCTCACCAGAGGAAGAGTGGTGGGGGTGGGGGGGCGGAGAAAGAGTAAGATACCAGCAACGGGAGGCAGATATCAGTGTGCATTGGTAGAACAGAGGTTTCACAGCAAAGAGTATGAGCATCTCAACAGAAAGGGTCTGGGAGTGTCATTTCTAATCTGAGAGGAGTGCTGACGCTTTGGATACTGTCCACCCATCTGGTAGGTTTATCATACTGCATCTGCCTGATCTGCATGCTAATTCTGCTGTTCATGCAGTGTAAACATTCGTATGTATAGAACATTTACAGTCTATATTTATCAGCATATTTGTATCACCTGATTATAGGATGCAACAATGTTGTAGCCCCTCTGCTGATATTTAAAGTTTGCCGGACATGAAGATTTAAAATGACATACTCTATTCGAGCTCTGTTTCTTATTGATAATGATGTGAAATCCAGTGATGCAATGTCTTCTCTGTGGTCATTATTTTTAGACTCACAATAAAGCCGCATTTGGCAATGTCTGCTTCAGGCTGCCCTACATCCCCATCGCACTTCTATTTTTTCTCTAGCTCTGCTATTTTTATTGATTCTCCACCGAAAATTCAGTCTGCAGTTCAACCACAGTCTGTAAATTTCACAACCTGTTAGGTACTGCACGCTCTGCTATGAGACGATCAAACTCGTGTATACGGGTCTCTGTTTTCTGCGATTCCACTGAGGCTTAAACATGTTCCCTGCTCAGTGGAGTCTTAGCCAAGATATCCCTCTGCAGTTGGAAATGTAATATCAGCCCCAACTACCTTTCCTAGTGGGAAAGAGGGGGACTCATCTTCACCATGCTTGAGAAAGTTAAAGCCTGGCATGAACTCAAAGCTGTGAGGAAAATACTTCTGCAGCAACAACCAGCTGATATTATACTCCCGTCTCTTTGTAAGGTTAATGAGGATATATTACTTCATCTCCTGTCACGACTTTAAGTTCCACTTCCTTGCCACTGACTGTAATCAGTATATCTCCTAATTTTGCTCTCAGTCACAATTTTGATTATGTGGATGTAGATGGCAGTACAGTGTAATACCCAAAGGATGCTGAACGTTTAATAGCAATGTTCAATAATTAATCTTCAGCTTGCTGAGGACTGATACATAAAAGCAAAAAAGGCTGAGAGTGAGTCAAAGTAAGCCACAGCGATTTATTATCTGCATTAACAGCATTTTTGTTCATTTTGATTTTGCTTCCCTCTCTTAAAAAAACAGAAGATTGATTTCTTCATAATTTCTAAGGAGACTGCCAAATTAAAATCCACTCTGTCCATTTGCAGTCGGAACGTGTCCACGCTGTAATTTCATCCAAGCTCAGTGATTTCTTTTACAAACAGTTAGATTTCTGCTACCACAGACTCGAAGCATTAATTATTCACCACGTCTTTCATATAAAAAATTGATTAAGGTAGGATAATGAGCATCCTTTATTCACATCTCTTCAATTTAGTCCAACTGTTTTCCTTCTTTAGGGAGATCCCAGTTTTAGGAAGGGCGATCGTGGCTCAAAGAGTTGGGTGTTTGTCTTGCACCCGGAAGGTTGCGGTTCGAGCCCTGGCTCGGACAGTTTTGGTTGTTGTGTCCCTGGGCAAGACACTTCACCTACCACCTACTGGTAATGGGCCGATGGTGCAATATGGCAGCCTCGCTTCTGTCAGTCTGCCCCAGCACTCCACCAGTGTGTGAATGTGAGAATGAATGAATTGTAAAGCGCTTTGAGGGCCCTGAAAAGCGCTATATAAATGCAATCTATCATTATTATTAAAATAATATTCTTTTCTTTTGATTTTGATGTTTGTAGTTTGAGCTTGGTAGACAAAGATGGGTGTCAACAAATATGTGGATGATTTTCTTTCTTTAGTCGCTTTCATGGCCGGGCATAACAATCAAAGAAATTAATTGTTAAGAAAATAATAATCTGTTCAAAATATCTGCTTTATATGTGTTTTTTATTTTGCTCAAATTTAATGGCATACTCTACAAAAAAAAAAAAAGATTAAAAGGAAAATATTGACTTTTTTAAAATATTTTTTCAGCCCATCCTTAAAAGATGATAAATCATTGATTTCTTTTGTGATGTCTTATTAGGAACCAATGTCAGTGTTTGCTTTGAAGTTCACTCAGTAGAAAAATTAGTATTCCCAATAGCTGGAAGCAGTGTATTTGTTTCCAGTACCTATAATGGTACTCAGAATTTTCTGAATTAAACATTTATGGCCCAAAAGGACAAAGCATAATGGATAAATCACAAACTCTAGGCTCTTGTGTGCTCAGCAAGCATTCTTTTTAATGACAAGCAGAAGCTAATAGTATTATTAAATGACAGCTGGGAATAATAATAATTAAAAACAGCTGATGAAACATTTTTAGCTGAAATCAGACAAATAAAAGGGCTTGAATAAAACATTTGGAGACTACCTCATGTGTGTCTCGCTAAGTCACAATTAAGAGCTCTTCTTTACTTTCAAGTCCTTATTTTGCACCACTTGTCGCAAAACAATTTACCAAAAGTGGCTGAAAGTGCACCCTGGTTTCACTGGAGACATCACTTTATGAAACTGCAGCACATCACAAGCTCTAATATGATATTGCTGCTGGTCAAAAACTGAAAGAAACACAAAGAAAAAAAAATACTCTGCTCACCATTTGCCATCATGAACAGATGATCCCTTCTGATGTAATCTTCCTGAGAGCAAATCCCCTCAAGCAGAGATGAGCTTCTGGTCTTCTGATCTTCACAGAGTGATTTTGCTGGTGAGCATTGCAAAACTTCCTTGAATTACAAAGGAGAATTACTCAATCAGCACTTGTTAATGGATTGATCCACTAAACTGAAAACCACCTGCTTCATATTGAAAACCAGCAGCTGTGATGTATGATTAAACAGCAGCAAACTGTTAACTGCAAGTCTCCCAGACATGACTAAGTCTAGAAAGATTAATAAAAATACTTAATGCTGTGATAAAGGGAATAAAATAAGCAATACCAGTGAAATTCATCCTGTAACATTTCTTGCAATTAAACACTCAAAATATTCCCATTACATCTGTCAAAAACATCAGCCAATTAAAAGCAGCCTGTCGTTGTTGTCTTATTAATACGTGTAACATGAGACAACTGGGGATTATTTGGATGAAAAAATCCTCTGGTGCATGCAGCCTTTTTTTTGCATACTCTGAAAAGTTGTAAATAACTTGCCAAGAAACTACCTCTTCGTCATATTGTCAACATCGACCACCAGTGCATAAGCCGATAAGAAAGGGTTTGGCTCGGACAACAGTGTTATCAGTTAATGGGATTTAAGACGTACACAGAAGTGACTCTAAAACCACCAAGATAGTGGTGCCTAACATGTGTCTCCTTTCTTCTCTCATTCCAGACCTGCACAATGTCAGACTTTGAGGATTTCACCTGGCCGGGAGGGCAGGCCAATGTATCTGAAAGCTACCAACTGAACCCCACCAGTGTGATTGTGTCAGTGGTCTTCTCTCTCATATTCCTGCTCGGCACCATTGGCAACAGTTTGGTGCTCGCTGTACTGCTGCGAAGCGGACAGGTCGCGTACAACACGACCAATCTGTTCATACTCAACTTGAGCGTGGCTGACTTCTTCTTCATCATCTTTTGCGTTCCTTTCCAAGCTACCATCTATTCTCTGGAGGGATGGGTATTCGGTTCCTTCATGTGCAAAGTCGTCCACTTCTTTATCAACCTTACCATGTACGCCAGCAGCTTCACATTGGCCACCGTGTCTGTTGACAGGTATTGCTTCAAAATACTTGTTTTGCTGAAATACCGAACATCTAAAGCCAATTTCACCCACAAAGAACAGAAAAATTAGCAAATTATCACATTTTGAAGTGAAGTTTGCTATGTTGGCTATTGACACTTCGTTGTTATTGCTCTTATTTTTCTATCAGCTAAGGCTAGCTAAGACTAGCTAGCTTAGTTAGCAACATGCCTTGCAATACTCTGTTTTATTAAACAGGACGATCATTTTGGCTAACAAGAAAAAGAAAACAAAATCAAACCACCTACGTTTCATTTAGCAGATCTACCACCGAAGTCTGAGCCACAGCAATTTAAGCATTTGCTTTATTTCTTTGTCTCTATGTTTGTGCTTGGATATATCACCCAAAATGATATTATTCATTACTAATATTCTATTAATCAAACTATGAGTAGCTGTTGGTCATTTTCTTGGTGTCAACATAAATTTTCAGGGAACTCAGGTTGCACATACTTTAATGTACCTCCTTTTTAACACAAGAAAATGGATCTGAAATTAAAATAAACCTAATTAATCACACACTCACATATTTCTCTTTAATCTAGAAAATATTAGCCTCAAGCTTGTTGTACACAGAAACTACTTCCATCAAATCAACAGCTATAGCTGTGTCTCTCACAGTCTGTCCTTTATTGTTAAACTCTAAATGTAGGTATTTGGATATTGCACAAAACACGTTAAAAGCTGACATGTTCTTTCTCTAACATCTAAGACATTCAGTGTCTTTGATGCCAATGTGTATCGCCAGTGCTTTCTAGTGTCTTCTATCTAAGAGAAAGGAGAAGAGAAAAACAAGCAAGGGCATGGATTATTAATGTAAGGAAATTATTTAATGCAAGGACATAAATTTATTAAAGAGAGGAAATGAGAAGGATATTGAGGGCACAAATATCTGGGCTCAAATACAAATTTAGTTTAAAGGTGGGATGAAAAATGCCTGTGTAAATGATGAAAAATGTGATATTCCACCTGCTACATTGCAAATATGACAACAAATATAGTTTTAAATAAAGGAAGAAAAAAAATACATCAATCTGCCAAGATTTTGGGAAAAACTGAACGACTGAATCCATTGTTTTTCATTTCTAGGACATACAATAAGCCTTCAAAACTCCCTAAGGAAAGCATTGAGAAAGCTTTTATTTGCCCGGTCACGCTGTTAATTTTTTTGTTGTGCTTTATTTTGTTTACTCTCCCGCAATGTCTCTGAAATATTACACATTTAATTTGTCACAAATGCATTTTTCGCATCTGGAGTTTAAACATGGACTCCAGAAGCTAAAAATTATATCCCTCGGAGAATAAGCCGTAAGCCATCATTATAGCTGTTGGGCAGCAATAATCAGTCAATATGAGCTGTAAGTGTGCAGCTGCCCTCTCCAGCAGACCCCTCTGTTCACACTGGCTGTGTTTACACTCCAGAGGATTCAATAGTCATTTCCCCCTCAGTGTGAAAAAGAACAGTAACACCTGAGTCGGGAGGGTAATGAACATGTCCTGTCTTCTTCCTTCGTCTGCAACGGTCAGCAACATCGCATACAAAAAAGCGAACTCTTACAGTTTACGCCAAGAATCCCCAGCAGAAATTAAGCCACAGATAAGCCTGGGGGAATAGCAGCACTGACACACACACATAGACAAAACGGTGTAAAAGGATGACTTGCTGCTGAATGTGCCATCTGCAGGCAGATAATATGATATATCCTCTGTTTTTATGGTGCAGAATTATGTATTAAAAAAGGCTCACAATGAATCATTCATAAATGTTGTTTCTGTTTAAATTTAGTAAAACATTATTTGGATACTCAAAGAGTTAATCTCTGCCATAAGCGCATAAGTGCCATTTGTTTTATATTAATCCGTTTAAAGATAATTCAAAGACAATTTAATCTGGCACTAAAGAGTAATGTCTGAATACTTGTAGTTTTCCAAACCACTGAGGTTTCAAGTTACCAGCGGGTTCAAAGTGACTGCTTTTTGAATTTAATGTAAAACACCGTGGCCCCAATTCACTGAGCTATCAAAAACCAGAGAGGCTGTTTTCTCAGTTTCTACAGTCTTTCTGAAGTGTCCTACAAATGTGAAAAGCAAGGACATGGACATTTTGTTTTCTGAGAATTCCTGCCTTTGGCAAAATACTCCCTTGGAGAACATATAACACATAAAGCAGCATGTTAAATATGCCAAATATTTAAAGACTAACCAACCAAGAAATGATGAGGTTCCAACTGCAGAGATAATATGTGATAATCAGTATGCTGTAAGATTATTGAAAGAGACAGCTTTTATTGAAAGCATCATAGTGTCATGTGGGATTTGCGCCTTCATCTCCTACCTGCTGAGTAAAATTAAAAGCACAGCACCAAGCATGTTTTCTGTTATTCCTGTTGTTTTACAATTTATGCAAGTTCGTCTTACTGAAAAAGCCTAAAAGCCCTCTCTCTGGATATTACTGTCTCTAAGGTGTCTTATTCAGTAGAACCAACAAACAGCAGTGGAGTGAGTGAATGATTACCAGTCAACCACAAAACTTCAGTGTGAGTGAATTCATTGTGAATGTATAGGTGGCACTACTGTTACAATAATACCTACTCAAAGGATCCAACTGCACTGCTCAAAAAATTAAAGAGACGCTTTTTAATCAAGTCAGTTAAACTTCTGGGATACTAATCTG